AGGGCATGTGGCACTGACTCTCCTGTCCCAGCAATTGCAGTCAGAGCCCTGCCTTGCCAGTCAGCCTTTTCCTGAACCAGCAGTTCCATTGGTGGCCAGGGGAGACCTCTTCTGTGTCCCAGAAAGGCAGAGAAAAGCATGAACAAAGGCTACAGCAAGGCACCACTGGGAGTTGAACCTAGGATCTCCTGCTTACAAGGTAAGCACTTTAACCAGCTAAGCCATGGTGCCCTTTTTGGCTGCATCCTCGATATAGAGCTTTTCTGAGCTACCTCTTGTACCCAGGAAAAACTCTGCTGCGTCCATGGAATGGGTCGACTTTTTTTAGATCCTTTTCCAAAAAAGTGGGTGTGTTCTTTCAGAAGCCCTGTATTCCTCATTTTATTAGGAATAAGTGCTCTTCTGAAAGAGGAGGTTTTCCCCACATTTGGGCCCGTGTAGATGGGAAAATGTCAGGAACGCCTCTTCTGAAAAAGAAGTGTTTCTAAAATGGTTCTAATTTATGGTCCCAGACAACGCCTTTGAATTCCAAAGTGCAGCCACTTTCCCTCCAGCGTTGGAGGGTTCTCAAGGCCTGTACAGCCCAAGAAATGTGATTAGCGGCTCGTACCCACAAACTTTTTGTCAAGTGCAGTGCAACCTAAGGATTACTTGCCAAGCACACGCAACAGTCCACCACTCTACCAGCTGAGCTACTGAAGGGTGCCTGAGTGGGGCTGGTTTGTCTATGTTGGCCCATCTACAAGTGTCAGGGCAAGTGATCCCCCAGGTGGATGGCATTGCAGGTGAGGGGAAGAAGAACCCAGCAGCACAAGGGTGCTTCACATGCAAAAGAAAAATAGCTGGGTTCTTCTTGTGTGTCTTTTTTTTGTTTCAGTGTCTCTAGGGGTACAGGAGGGACAGATCCAAAAGAACCAAACTGATTGAGTGAATCTTGGTCTAGCCTTTCACTTGTGCTGCTCGCTCTCCCAGACACTTCCTCACTCACAAGAGGAAAAGGGAGCAGGGCCATGGAGGGGTAGGGCCACAGGCTCTGGGACCTCATCTCTCCCCCCTCCCTCTGCCTTCTACCAAGGTTCTGAAACTGGGGAGGAATCCCCAGCTGACATCACACGAACACGCCTGATACCAGCCCTGGGGCTGAGTTCCTGTGCGGGCTGCTGCAGAGAAACCCCCTCCCTGAGCAGCTCCCGCATGGAGCTCTCTGCCCTGAGTGGCCACCTCCCTCTGCTGTACCCCCCATTGATCTTCTTCCCCATCCAGCCTTTCCTCTGGGCAGGGCTGGGCTTTCCCATTGGAGCTGCTCACTGCCTTGGGGTAATGCTCTGCCTGTGATGCTGGCAGCTCCTCCCTTCTCTTGGGGCTGCCCCACCCAAAGCCACCCCCTGCTCTCTGGGGTGAGCCAGCTCTTCTCCAGCGCTGCCCCCACCCCTCTGTGCCCTGGCCTGGGAGTGGAGGCTGCAGTAGGGGTGGGTCTCAGCTCCCTGGGGCCCAGGCCTGTCCCAGCCAGAACAGGGCTGCTGGGAAGGGTGAAAAATGGCCCCAGCCACCCTCAGAGCTGAGCTCTGTCCCTCTCACTCTGATTCTCTCTCCCCAGTGACTGTGACTCTGGATCCAGACATGGCCCATCTCCAGCTCGTCCTGTCTGAGGATCGGAAACGTGTAAGCTGGACAAATACTCCACAGCGAGTGACTGACGCCTCTCAGAGATTTGACTCTGAGCCCTGTGTGCTGGGCTGTGAGGGCTTCTCCTCAGGGAGACATTGCTGGGAGGTGGAAGTGGGGTACAGTGAGCACTGGGCCGTAGGGATAGCCAGAGAGTCTGTGGGCTGGAAGGGACAGATCAGTGTTAGGCCTGAGCAGGGGATCTGGGCTGTAGAGCGGTTGTCAGGTCATCTTTACTCTCTCACAATCCCTCTCACCCACCTGCCCCTGTACCTACGCACCAGCGGGATCTGGGTTTGTCTGGACTATGACCGGGGGCAGGTGACATTGATCAGTGCTGGTACTGAAGCCCCGATCTTCACTTTCCCGCTGGGCTCCCTCCCTGGGGAGAAAATCTGACCCTGGATTCAGCTCTGGGATACAGATGCCTGCCTCAGACTGTGCCCCTGAAATGAGGAGGAGGGCACCTGCTGCTCTGCACCAGGCCCCAGGTAATCCCCTGGATCACATTGCACAGGGAGAGCCTTTGGAGAAGGGGTAGTGGGGGTAGGAAGGGGTGGAGCTGTGATGGGACAGAGCTTGGGGTAGGGGTGGAGTGGGGGAGGTAGTCCTGGGCCCCATGCCAGTCGAGGAATGGCCCTGGATGTATGCAGTATCTGCCCTGCAAACCACAGAGTGCACTGCTAGATCCAGGGGCCAGACAGTGTCACTGAGACCGGGGGAGTGGGGAACAACCCCAGGAATGAAGAAATGGGCTGCTCCAGACACAGCCCTGCCTCTCCCCGATGTCTGGCCCAGCTCTGCACCCCAAAGGGCTCCTGTCTCCCCAGTTGCTGATCTGTGATTGCCCCAAGGCCCTCCCCTTCCCTGCAGCCCCAGAGATGTGGGGGAAGAACCCTGAGGGAGACTGAGGGGCAGAGATGGGGGCTGCTGGGTGAGAACTGCAGGAGGGGCTGGGGCAGAAATCATGTGAGTGGGGGAAGGGAAGAAGCCCCAGCTGGGCTGGAGACAAGCAGATGTGGGGGGCAGGGACACAGAACCATTCACTAGGGTTTGGAGAGAAGCTGCTCCTTGTGGTGTCATTGCCCATCCCAAGGGAGGGGAGAGGTGGGTCACTCTCCTTGGCTGCAGGAGCTGCAGAGGTTGCACTATTTTGAAATAGCAGGAGTGTGGACACTCCACTGCTGCTATTTTGAAATAATTACTCCCCCAACTCACTGAAAGTAATTAGTGCCCAGTGCTTCCTGGGGCTCTGAAGTGAGGTTGCGCATCCACATTAGGGGAGCTGGCCTCTGACTAATTTTGAGGCTTCCTAGTACTGTGGACATTCTATTTCAAAATAGCTATTTTGGGAGCCTTTATTCTGAAATAACCTCGTAGTGTCAACATACCGAGTGAGTGGGGGTGACAGGGGGAGCAGCTCAGACATGCCAAGGGGCTGGCCAGGGGCAGGACATGAGCCCTGCCAGGCAGCAGTGACATCACAAGGGCCTTTTGCAGCCCCTTGGTTCATTGGTTGGGAGGCAGTGACCTCACAGAGGGGCCATAGCAACAGCCAGATGGGACAGGTTACAGGGCTGGGGCCATCTCAGAGACCCCCATGGCCTGGCTGCCTGGAATCTCCTTTGTGAGGTTTCCCCTTGAGGGCAGAAGGACTTGAGGGTCACATGTGGGAGAGTGTCTGGAGATTTCCCCTTTCCCCAGGCTGCAGTGGGAGGGGCTGGGGCAGGCAGGGTTACAAGATGCATTGACACTGAATTTCTGGGAGAAACAAGAGAGAGGGCTGCAAACCCCCATGAGGATGGGATTTGAACCTATGCATGCAGAGCACAATGGATTAGTAGTCTATTGCCTTAACACTCAGCCACTTTACCCAAACTACCCAAAGTCAGCGGTGCTGGGAAACCTTGTGCCACTCACTGACCAGCCAAGGACACCCAGGGCAAGAAGGTTTTGGTTTTTCACAGTGTTCCCTGGGCCACTGTACAAAGCTCAGTGCTGGTAACAAACCCAAATACCCCTTGGGTGCCCAAAGATGGGCTGGCTCAGAGCGCTCTCTGCAGTGGGAAGATGCCCGTGGAGCAGTTACACAGCAGCGGCACACGGCTCTGTTCACTCTGCTATGTCGCGTGTGATCCCTGCTGTCTTGTGCTGTTCTGTGGCAACTCTGTGTGTGCCTCAGTTTCCAGCGGCACTGCACCACCATCTGATGGGGTTGGGAATTTTGAGCATGACTCTGTACTAGGCCGGGCAGGTCGGCTTAAGGGATGCAAAATGCCGACCTGCCAGGTAAGCTGAATCCAGCCATGAATTGTGTGTCTCTGGTCCCTGTGCTAACACATCTGTTCTATACTGTCCCCCTGTGATGTAACAAACCTTCTGTTCTACCTGCCGGCTGAGAGTCACGTCCAGCTGCGGATGGGGGCACAGGTCCCGGTGACTCCCCACCCGTTGGTGATACCTGGTGACTTACTGGTGTTTCTCACTTGTTTCCCAAGCCTCTGCTAATAGCACCTCAGCCTGGGAGCATTTGCCTGAGCCTCTTTCTGATCTTCAGCATGGTTCTCCACCCAACGCTCATGACAGGGTGGGAAGCCTCATCAACCCCATTTTGCCGATGGAAGAAGGGAGGCCCAGAAGAGGCAGCGTGATGTGCTCGGGAGAAGTTCTCTGGTAGGAGATGGGAGAGGTAGAAGGGACAGACGATTTTCCTTGGAAGGAGGGGGAATACTCCTGCTCTTCCCTGTGATTCTGGCTGGCTTGCAGAGGGCTCCTGCCTCTCTCCATTCCTTCTTGCTTCTTCTCTGCTCTGGCTGTTGAGGGGCCGCTGGGCCTGGGTTAGGAGGGTGATGTGCCCGGCTGGGCTGAGAGCAGCCACATCACTTGGTATCTCCTGAATGGCAGCCCCTGACAAAGCCAGCCCCTCCTTGGTGTGGGCTACAGCTGGGCAAATTGAGTGCTGAAAGGGTTAGCAGTCAGGGGTCATGGTGCAGTACTGTGGCTGGGCTCTAAGTTGGGGAGGAGGCAGCTCTGGCTGTAGAGGGGACATCACTGGGTCCAGGCAGGTGGGGGGACGTGTCCCATGCAGAAGGATGGAGCCATGTGAGTCCGTATGCAGATGTCATGAGCAGAACTCTGTGGGAGCGGGAACGGGAGTGGGCTGGTGAGCAGGGCCCAAATTTTGTGAGTGGGGTCAGTCTGGGGCATGTCAGGATGAGTGCAGGCAGGAGGGATATGGCGCTGGCATGGTCACGTGGGGCTGTGAAGCCATGCCTACCATGAGGTGAGAGTGTTTGGGTGCTTGGGGGCAGGCTGTGATTGTGCCTGGGAATCACATACTTACCTACCAGGGGAAATAATCTCAATCCTGAAAGTGGTTTTCCTAAAGTGAGGCTCATCCATTGCACTGTGGCTGTGCTAACTGCTGCAATTTCCTCAAATGGGGGAAAATTGACTGCACAATTTGTGAGTGGGGGACTGCGTTTGTGCTTTCCCCTGGTGCTCATGGTAAAAGAAAGAGAAACAGAGCTGTTCATTGCTTGTCCTTCCTACTGTTGTTTCTCAAGATGCTTTGCTGCACTTCCATTTTCTGCCTTTTTTTTTTAATGTCGCTATTCTTGTTTTGCAGCAGTGTTCTGACCCTACGGCCTTTCTCTGGTTTGCCTGGAGGCTGCATAGTCTGCTCCCTTGTGCTTCTAGCTGGTCTAGAAGCTTTTTCTCTGAGAGGCTCTTGACAAATGTTCTGTGATGGAGGGAGATTCAAGTACCTTCCTAGGCAATTGAATCTGAATCCTGCAGCCTGAGCTCAGATCTCAGTGGGACCTGCTGATGAGATGTTCGTTTGCTGCAAATTCTTGGTAATACCAGTGTTTGGCTTCTGTGTCCTTAAATGCCCTTTGCCCCTCTGCTGGGTGACTGGTGCCCACTAGAGTTGGGTGTTTGGCCCAGCTGGGTAAGTGGGGTGGCTGCTGCAGGTTGGGGCCTTAGAACGTAACAGCCTGGCTAGAGATCAAGGGGCAGCTGAGGTTGTGTCTCACACTGCTTCACCTGATGCCCACACATTTGGTCCTTGTATCAGCAGCTGCCAGGCTGTTCCTCTTGCCCTCAGGGCATTTTGAGGAAGATGCAGCAGGGCCCTGCTCAATAGTCAAGGCAGAGTTGCAGCCTGTCCCCCAACCCACCTTCCCTCCTCTGGGCACATGGAGCAATGACAGCTGGGACTGGCAGCTCAGTGGTAAAGCAAGGGGAGACCCTGCCTACATGTGTCCTGAGGACCCCTCACAGGTCCCAGCCAGTCTGCTCCCTGTCCCCAAATGTAAACCTTGTATCTTATATGCTTTGTACCCCCTTTTGCTTAATTGATTTTCCTGTTGAGTGAATGAGGTGTGAATGGATAAGACATGAAGACAAGCACCTCCCTGCACTTTTAAGCCAGATCCAAGAACAATGAGAAGAACTATGGGACCTGTGAAGTGGTCCCATTGAAAGAAGACTGGACCTATGGAATCCTTGGGAGTCAGCAGCAAGTGCCTGCTTTTGGAAGCACCCTTTGTGAAGGTGAACATGGCAGCATTAAGGCACCACCCAGAAGAAGGTGCCACAGATGTCTAACTGCATATGCATACTATTACTCTCGCAGATGATGCATGTGCATGTGATGACTAACTGGTGTAGAGCTGCATGAGAGGGAAGACACTATAAATCTAAGATAGGAGGCATCTTGCAGAGGGATTTTCATCTTGTCAACATGAGAGCATCCATCCGGATCGGCAGAAGCCCGGCTCCACCCCTCCCCCATCTAACTCACCTGGCCAGTGCAGTTAGGGGGAGCAACTTTTGGTAACAACAAGACGGAGTGTGCTTGTGTGTATGTGAGAGTGCATGAGTGTGATATGTCATATACATATGATAAGTATTGATTATTCTATGTGTGATCAATAAATGTGGCATGTTGCCTTATCCCTCTGAAAAAGATCCCAAGTACTTCTTTTAAGTACAACATTTTGGTGGAGAATTGCAAAAGGGGGAAGGTACCATGAGCATTTATTGAGTAATGTAAAGGTGTTGAGAAGTATGGAAAAGTGATCATAAACCTTGAAAAGTATTAAAGTGATCGATCAGTAAGGTGTGCCCACCCCCAGTGGTAGAAGGCCGGGTAAAGAGAGGAGGAGAAGTAGTTTTCTCGCTCCTCCCCGGTTGTAGAATGCCGGCATTCGAAAGAAGGGAGGAGAATTAAATTTCTCACTCCAGGAAAAAGAGGTATTGGTATTGCTATTTTAGTCTCAATAGGAGTATACTATACTAAGAGGGTATACTAAGAGGTATTGGTAGATAAGAGTAAAAAGCATAAGCATTGCTATTCTAGTCCCAATAGAAGGGTGGGAATACTAGAAAATGTTTAAACATAAGCAGTCTTTTAAGCAGGCTCCCAGAGAGGAGACTGAGAAATTGGCATTTGTAAAAGATGAACAAATCTTTTGAACCTTTTGAACAAATCTTGCAAAAATTCGGACATAGCCCTTGGTCTGATCAAGTGTTAGCTGATGTCCATACAATTTCAGAGCTAGAAGACAAATTGGCTAACTACTTATAGATATATAAACCCTCAACTCCAATGAAAAAGGAAGCAGCTGCAGTTTGGCTTCTATGGAAAACCTGTAAGGAGGTGTTTCTCAAATTCACTGAATATAAGAATGCAAGTATGAAACTGCAAAATGTAAAAGCCTCTGCTGCAGAAGTGGAGAGGTAGATACAATTTCAGAGCTAGAAGACAAATTGGCTAACTACTTATAGATATATAAACCCTCAACTCCAATGAAAAAGGAAGCAGCTGCAGTTTGGCTTCTATGGAAAACCTGTAAGGAGGTGTTTCTCAAATTCACTGAATATAAGAATGCAAGTATGAAACTGCAAAATGTAAAAGCCTCTGCTGCAGAAGTGGAGAGGTAGAAATGCATGTCCCTCAGTACCCAGACACAGCTAGATTCCCTTAAGGAAAGGTACTGAGAGTTAAAGCAACTCACAGATTTTTCAGGAATATGCTTAAGAAAAAGGACCAGGAGGTGTGGGGCTTAGTGAACAAGGCCTCCCTCCTTGCTAAACTTGTAATGGGACAAAGCCTGAGTCTGTGGAAAGAAGCCACTTTCCATTTAGCAAGAAAAACAGGATCAGGCCCAGACAAGCAGGCAGGTAAAAGATAGATTGAAGGCCTTGTGGTAGAACTGAGAAAAAGCAGTAAGTACAGGTACTGGAAATCTAAATCCTTAAAACAATACTTACAAGAGTAATATCTGAAAAAGGCCAGTTTTCATTTTAAGAGACAAGAAAGTGTTTTAAGAAAAAAAAAAAACACAGAGAAGTTAACTATAAGAACATAAGAACATAAGAAC